AGATCTGGCTTTCTTTGAATATAAGAAGGAGGAAACATTTCAGAAGACGATTCTTTTTCATTATGGGGGGAGCTAGAGGGTGATTTTGTGAAACAACAGAAAAACCAAAATTCAAGGCAAAGAACAGCATGTGGCATGCCTTCATGAAAACAAGAACTATGAGAAAGAGAGTGAAGGATCATAATCTCAGGGTTGCTCCCAGGGAAGGAGAGTCTTTCAAGAGCAGAGCAGAGTCCCAGCTGGTGTGGGTTTTGTGAACAAAATACAATATCTAGTGATAGTATCTAGTAAATGTACATCATTTCACAGAAGCCTTGCTAGTCTCTGTGAAATCCTACTTTGTGCCCAGTTTGGCTGTGAATGTTTTAAGTAACACTCTAAAATCCTCTCATTACAGCATAACACAGAATCCAGATGAACCCAAAACATTAATCCTTACTGGCAGAAATGTTTAATATGCTATATATAATATTTACTTATGCATAAAACAAGAGAATGATCCAGAGAGGATGAATGAACATTTCCCACAAAAGTTAAAAGTTAAATCCCCATCATGAGTTTTTGATCAACATAAATATAAGAAGGTCAACTCTTGCAAAAAGATCTGAAGAGCAAAGAAAAGTTGGAAAAATGGTCTTCAAGTCTGCATAAGGGTAGGGAGAATGAAAGCTTGGGAAAATATGTGCCCCACAGTCTCTTTAACAAATAGAGCTCGGACTATACAATAATTAAAGCCTGTTTGCAATATTAAAAAGATGATTGGTGTGAGGCCAAATTCCATGTACACTGGCCTCAGGAAACAGTGCCAGATCTGATGAGACTGTGCCTTGTGCCTTTTTCTTCTCTACCAGTGCTAACACACTGATGCACTAGCCATCTGAAGGCCATAGCTACACTTTGGTGATTCCTCATACCCTGGCACAGATGGAAATTCAAAATGTGAGGAATGAAGGTCCCACCTGGTGGGGAAAGTGCATTGGCTATCAGGTTACCCTTGTTTTAGTAAGACAAACAGACCTTTTGCCATGAGGGACATTCATGTGTTTTTTGGAAGATCATTCCTGATTAAACCCCCAAAGACCTGCCAGTACATAACTGGGACCAGGATCGTCCTGGTGGCTCACAGGAATAACAAGGATCTAGAACTCTGCAGCCATCCCCCTTTCTGACACTTCCCAACAGAAATGTCCCACCAGCTAGCTGGAATCTAGGGAGGAAGAAGAGTGTTACAGTGTGTCCAATGAAAAGAAGTATGTGCAGCTCAAATGTCTCCAACTTTCTAGGAACAAATCTACTCAGAACACCAGTCACACCCACAACAATGTTTCTAACTTACATGCCTCATGGATGAGATGATTCTCCAATTTAATTTGTGCTGAGAAGAGCTATTTCCTCCCCAGAGAGTGACCTACTCCTTGTCTTATGCCAAGAAAAATGCTGAACTATAGAGGTGACACATCATGCTTAATCACTACTTTCAACTGAAATAACATAAAATAAAGCCCTCACTCAGCCACTCAGGCAGAACAAGTTATCCCAAGCACACAGACACACCTACTTAGACACTCAAAATTTCTGAGGAGTCTGGTTCCCAGCTGTGTGTTGAGAACAAGCCCATGAGTCGCCCTGGAGAATCTTGGGGCAGGGCTGTTGCAGCATCCTGTGCGTGCTAATGGGAGATTTCCCAAGAATTGTCTTAGCTTTTTCATGCATCAAACTCTAAGAAGCCAAGGTTTGCATCAAGAGCTCATACCCCATCTGCAATGATGACAGTGGAGAACACCTGCCTACCTTCCAGCATTCCCAGAACTGACTTCTTACCTACCCAAAAGTGAATAGTTAAGCCAGGTAAGGAGGGGTTGGAGGGCCACTCAGCACAAGGTTTTCTTCTCTTTGGTTTGGCTCGCCAGCCAAATGAAAACCTCTCAAATGCATTGCTTTTTTTTTTTTTTTCTGGTCTTCTCAAGCAGAATAAAGATGCCACAGCCTCCCATAAAGCTTCAGCCTAGGAAACAGGAGGTTGGCATGGCCTTCTCCAGCATCCTGCAAGCACTGAAAAGGCCTGGGGCCCTTCCCACTGGAGGATTTTTCTCATGATGGGAAAAATCTATCTGTCCTGAAGTAAAAGGATCTCAATAAGTCAAATGGGCTTTCTCAAGTCTAGGGACTCCATAATACTTTTCAAGACCAAATCACCTAAAAATGCTATCCAACACCAACACAACTCATTGACCTCCCACTGACAATGCAAAAACACATCTCTGGAAATGTCTCTTCTGGTTTTTAAAGTCTTCATCTGGTCCATCCTTCTTCTCTGGGTTCACCTTGACCATCTTCCTCTAAGTACTTCTCAACTAGGGGGTGATTTTGTCTCCCCCAAGGAACATTGAACAATATCTGGGAACATTTTTGGTTGTCAAGATTAGAGGCCAGGTGCAGTGGTACACACCTGTAATCCCAGTGGCTCGGGAGGCTGAAGCAGGAGGATAGTGAGTTCAAAGATAGCCTCAGCAAGGTCAAGGTGCTAAGCTCCTCAGTAAGACTCTGTCTCTAAATAAAATACAAAATAGGGCTGGGGATGTGGCTCAGTGGTTGACTGCCCCTGAGTTCAATCCCCAGTATTCCCCCCATTCTTCCAAAAGATTATAGAATGAGGGAAAAGAGGTTACCAAAATCTCTACAATGCAGAAGACAGTTAACTCACTACAAAGGATTATCTGGTCAAAATATTTGGAGCTGTTGGGAAACTCTTTTCCAGCCATACCAACCTCTTTTTGCTCTCTAAACTTGCCAGACTTTCTCATGAGATGTTGCTGCTTTTTTGTTGTTGTTGTTTTTTAAGTACTGGGGATAGAACCCAGGGCTTCATGCATGCTAGACACGTGCTCTACCACTTAGCCAAATCCCCAGCCCTCACATGCTTCAGTGCCTAGCACAGGCTAATTCCTTTATCTAGAATACACTGTCCTGCATTCTCTATCAGGAACTTACCATCTAGATCCAATTCAAAATGTCCCCTCTTCTCTATTGCCCTTCCCAAGTCCCAGAGTGGGAAGTTCCTTTCTGTGTTTATGGAGCTTCTGGTACATACTTCATCAGAACATAAAGCCACACTGATCCAAGGTAGTCTGTTACCTGGTAAAACTGTGGTCACCTTGACCAAGTCCCATTTATCAATCCCCAAAGTGCCCATTTGGTAATTAAGTACTGTTTGTCAAATCAATCAGGGAACAAAAGGAAATGCTGCAGATGCACCTTAGACTCTCTTATAACTACTTCTAAGAAACAATGCTGTCCCAGGAAAAGAAACAATCTGTAAGGTGAACAGAGAGCCTACATCTTGGGAGCAAATCTTTGCCCCTCACACATCAGATAGACCACTAATCACTAGGGTATATAAAGAACTCAAAAAGCTAAACACCAAAAAAACAAATAACCCAATCAGTAAATGGGCAAAGGACCTGAATGGACACTTCTCAGAACACTTCTCAGAAGACGATGTATAATCAATCAACAAATACATGACAAAATGCTCATCATCGCTAGCAATTAGAGAAATGCAAATCAAAACCACTCTAAGATTTCATCTCACTCCAGTCAGAATGGCAGCTATTATGAAGACAAACAACAATAAGTGTTGGCGAGGATGTGGGGAAAAAGGCACACTCATACACTGCTGATGGGACTGCAAATTGGCACAGCCAATGTGGAAAGCTGTAGGGAGATTTCTTGGAAAATTGGGAATGGATCCACCATTTGACCCAGCTATCTCTCTCCTTGGTCTATACCCAAAGGACTTAAAAACAGCATACTACAGGGACATAGCCACATCAATGTTTATAGTAGCAAAATTCACAATATCTAAACTGTGGAACCAATCTAGATGCCCTTCAATAGATGAATGGATAAAAGAAATGTGGCATACATACACAATGGAATATTATTCAGCAATAAAAGAGAATAAAATCATGGCATTTGCAGGTAAATGGATGGAGTTAGAGAAGATAATGCTAAGTGAAGTTAGCCAATCCCCCAAAACTAAATGCTGAATGTTTTCTTTGATATAAGGAGGCTGATTCATAGTGGGATAGGGAGAGGGAGCATGGGAGGAATAGACGAAGTCTAGATAGGGCAGAGGGGTTGGAGGGGAAGGGAGGGGGCATGGGGTAATTAATGATGGTGGAATGTGATGACCATTATTATCCAAACATGTATGAAGACACGAATTGGTGTGAATATACTTTGTATACAACCAGAGATATGAAAAATTGTGCTCTATATGTGTAATAAGGATTGTAATGCATTCTGCTGTCATATATAAAAAATAACAGCAGCAGATATTTATCAAATGTTTGTAATGTAGACAGGAACTGTATGAAGGTCTGGTATATACATTAACTCATTTTACCTTTTCAACAACCCTTTGAGATAGGTTCCACTATTATTAGCATTTTACAAATGGAGAAACAGAGGCATTAAGAAGTTAATCCACTTGCCAAGGTGGCTTAGCTTTGAAGTCAAAGCCCGAAACTAGAAAGCTAACATCCTTAAAGCTAACATCTGGCAGAGCAGATATTTAATCTCAGAAAGTCTGGCTCAGAGACTCAATCTCCTAATATTCATGCTAAGGCAGTTATACCAACAATCAATCTTTTAGCCACTCAGAAGCCTGTGGAAGAAACAAGTGATACCTTCAGGGGCCTATACAACTAGGGAGTGATCACCTCATGTGACTCCATCAGAAACACTTCACGGGGAACAATCATATAATACTCCAACCTCCTCATACGATGGAAAGACACATGTGCCCAGGAGAATCATGATACCATGGGAAAATAGAAATGCTGATTCAAAGTACCTTTTATTGGGTTGAGGATGTAGCTCAGTGGTAGAACATTTGTCTAGTATGTGCAAGGCTCTGGATTTGATTCTCAGTACTGAATTAAAAAAAAAAAAACTCAAAACAGATAACAAAAAAGAAAAAGCAAAGTACCTCTTACCTTGTTCATGCTGCAGGGATGGTAGCAAGGGATCAGACATGTCACAATGCGAGGCAGCTCTTGAAGATCCTTTTTGTTCCTGGAGCCCTCACTTTCTGAAGCTGACAGCTGCACTGTGAACACACACAAGTAGTTCATCAGTCAGTGCTGAGGAAGGCTCAAAGCTAGGATGGCCCCATCCATGTCTGTGTTGTCCAGTATGGTGGCCGTGTGTGTGGCTATTGAGCCCACAGTGGCACTACTGGGCTGCAGGGGAAGGCATTGAGTCTGGCACGAAGTGGTACTGCTCACCTATTTTAAGGAAGTCAAAGCCATAAAGTAGAAATAGCTAATTTTTAAATTGTATGTAATTTTAATTACATTTAAATAGCCAATGTGTTTGGTGGCTACCATTTAGACAGTGCAGATCTAAATATCAAATCTAGAGTCTTGAGGTAGATTGCTAGGTTCTGAGCATGCTAGTGGCTAGCTAATATTGTGTGCATATTAAGACTGCAGATCACAGGGACAAGAACATTCACTGATTCAATAACAATTTTTTTTAATAAGGTCTGGGTACTAAGGATTTAGTGATCAATAATACAGAGAGGCCAATGACTTAGGTGTTTCTGCTTGGACTCTGAACTGCTCAAAAGGGCAAGAGACAAGTGTGTGAGCAGCAGCGCTGGTCCAGATCTCGGTGCAATCTCCTGCTGCCCAGCAGGCACAGAGGATAGGAAGGCACATGCTGGAGCCTGACTATGTTACTGCCCAGGATTAATACGTAGAACTACACAGAGCTCCTTGGGAGGCGGTGTTCCAACAGGGAATCCAGGAGGTGAGTTTTTCTTGGGCCAAATGAACCAAACAACCCAGCTCTCCTCAAAATGGAATAGAGTCTGTGTTTTCATTGATGGTATTTGTTCTTAACACAGGTTTAAAGTATTTGAATTACATTTTAGAGTAAAATAGTTTATGGTATGGTTTTTGGAGTACTCAATCAATCAAATATTAAAGAAAAAAGAAAGAAAGAAAATGTCTCCAACCACTTAAATAGATTTGTAGACTTTTCCTTTGAAAGGTGCTTATGGGCAGACCTGAGAGGAAAACAAAACACTGTCAGCTTCCTTACAGTTACCTGATTTATGCAGTATTTTTTCAGGTTGCTTCTAGGAAAGATTTATATGTCTGAACCTTCCCATGAAAAATAGAATAGGAAGTTTAATTGGAACCCCAGTGCTTTAAAGTCTTTAAATGCATTATTATAATCTTAACAAGATAGAATAGGAAAAGAAAAAAGCACTCATAATCCCTCTAGCTCACCACAACCACCTTTAGCTCTCAGTAATCAGCCTTTGTCTATTATAAGAGAGTGACATGTTTGTTGAATACAGGACATGGAGAGTCTGAATGTTGATATTCCCCATATTTACATCTTATACTGGCAAGAAAGCAATTCTCCCATTATATTTTCAAAAGATAAAATTCAATTTCATATACATTACTTCTGTGAACACAATATTGTTAATTTTTTAAAAAAGCAAAAAATAGGGAGAAATAATTTCAAACTACTGTAGACAGAGATTCCAAAGAAAATGCCACATTCAGTTACAGCAATAACACATTTTCACAATGATGTATGACAAGGAGAATTCTGGAATTCTGCCTCTGATTCGTCAAACATCCAAATATCTCATGAGTACAAGAGATCTGGAAAATCATGGCTACAGAGTCAAGAAAATTTGGTATCTAATTCTAATTCATTTAAGAGGGACTAAAAAAAAATCAGTACATAACTTTTAGTCTTTGAATTTCCAGAAGCAGATGCCAATGGATTTCTGAGTTTTAAATCAGAACTCTACACATGCTGTTTTCTTCTTATTAATATATGCATTAGTCCATTTAAACATTACAGCCTGGTACTTAACTGGAAAACTGTCCCAATGCCTTGCAGATACCCAGTGTCACAATTCTGCTTGAATATTCACATTGGTATTAACATAGGAAATGGGCACAAGAAGCTAATAACAAGCAAATGAGGATTCTTGAGCACAGCTGCCCTCAGGGGCCCACCCAGGTCCAACTGTGCTACGGGTCCCCATTCCCTGAGAACACAGTTTGCACTAAACTAATTATGGATCTCTCCCTGTCCCTTACCTAAATGCTCTTGTCATTTTCGCATATGTCTATAAACCAGACTAAAATTTCTTTGAGGAAAATATCAGTCACCTAGAATATTCTTAATAAATATTATGAATAGATTTAAAAAAATTTTTTTCTTAACTCTCACTCACAGAACCTAAGATGATATAGACTTTAAACTCTGAATCTTAAAAACAATGATAATCATTGCAAAGATAATCATTGATTATCTTTGGGGTTTTTATTACAAAAAAAAAGAAAAATTATTTAATGCTTGGATTGTAAATGTTTTAAAAATATTATTAAGAATATCAAACAGATGTATAATATTCAAAACCATACAATATACTCTTAAATATGGGCTGGGGTTGTGGCTCAGTGGTAGAGCACTCACCTCGAATGCCTGAGGCACTGGGTTCGATCCTTAGCATCACATAAAAATAAATAAATAAAATAAAGTCACTGTATCCATCTACAATTACAGGAAAAAAAATTAATATTCTCATTTAGTATGATGTCAATCTGAGTGGTAGTTTTCCTAACCTGACACAGAGGGGTTAAAAAGTTCTTCCTGGTCCTGCTGTAATAAACAGAAGACCCTGGGTTAGAAGTGACTTCACTTCAAGGTACTATGGAATTGGAGCAAGTACAAAGACCACAAATGAAAGATAAACCCAACCTTCCCTGCCACCAATAAAACATACATTCCCCACAAAGACCACCATTAAAGAAAACACCTCAGAGAACAGATGACAGTTTTAGAAAATGGGTCAGTTTGCTTCTGGACAGCAACCAGAAAGATTGGCCTCCTTCTATCAAGTACTTTCCATCTCTTTTGAAACAGAGAGAACCTGGTTGTCTTGTAGCCAATTTAGTTTATGAAGAAGCACAGAGAAATCAACAGCTTAATAAATCAGTCTACATCTTAAATACAAAGCATCAAGGGAAAAGATCCCTGAGTTGCCGTGGTAGATAAGAGTGTTTTGTTTTTATTCTATTTTTCAATGTTTCTTTTTAATCTTTTAAGAAGTTGAAGTTTGGGTACAGAACAAAAAGGAAACACACTTTCATTTAAAGGGTGCCTTGAGAAAGCCAATCCTATAAGCCAACATGTGACTTCTACTCAGTTGATTCTAATTGTGTTGGCTCAATGAGCAATGAAGCCTGTGGCAACCATAGGTTTCTAAAAGGTTAATGGAATGTAATTCATCCTTTGAGAGAAATAGAAGAAGAATGGATAAGCAGGCAGGTCAAGAGAGAGCATAAGAAGAGAAGAGGGGCTTAGGGTGTTGTTCAGTGGGTAGAGTGCATGGCAAGTATGCATGAGGAGCTGGGTTCAATTCCAGCACCAAAAGAAGACGACAAAAAGAGAAAAGAGGTGAATGGGAGGGTTCACCAAGAGGAGGAAAGTAAAGATTGGTAAACAAACAAAGACACCTACAGACAGTTTTGGTGATATGGCCAAGTGCCCCTCACCAGCCAGGTCCTCGCTACGACAGAGACCCAGAGCTTCAGTCTCCTGGTGACAATTCCACATCTTTCGGTGTCTCTAGAGTTCTATGCTCTCGTGGCTTGGGCGTTAGCAAGTGGGAGTTGGAGAAAAGAGAAGACTGGGCCTACCTGTTTCACCACTACTTATTTACTATCAACCTCCACCTACCACAGAGTCTGTTTTACCTGGATCACTGCTCAGGTGGTTTAGAGGTATGATGAGAATCACATACACCAACTTTATTCTAGCCTCCCGACTCTAAGAGATGCTTAAAAGCATCAAGGACTGTTTTCTTTGTGTGCCATGCCTTGCCCTTGCAAATGCAGCTGATACTTATTGCCAACAGAGAATGGAATATGATGACGTGGGCTTTTCTCTCCATTCCACCTCCCCACTCCCTCCTGAGAGGCTAATTCTATACTTTTTTTTTTTTTTTAATATATCTCAAAGCTGTGTAGCCCAGGCACTCCAAAGAGATATACCCAGCAAGTCACTCTTCACAACGTCAAGGTCTCTGGCTTTTAAAAAGACATAATATATCCCGAGACCAGTCTGTGGAATGGACTCCTGTCCCTCCTCTTCCTGCCAGCAGCTTAAGTAAAGGGCTGGAGCATGAGGACTCATGCCAGATCCAAGGGTTTGCAGTGAAGTAACAAATAGCTTTGGAGAGAAAGGGCAAAGAAGTGTATAGAGGAAATGCTCAAAAATCTAGGATTTAGGAGCTTGGGGAATCATATGAACAGGTAAGGGGGGAAAAATCCCCAATTTTCTCCATCCTAGGTTTAGGTCTAGAATAATTCACTTGACTCAGAAGTCAATTCCTGATAACTTTCAACTGGAATCCTTGTCCAAGACTAAATAAATGTAGGCCATTTTTTTTTTTTTAATAGAAAGTTCAATCTCTTCCTTCCACAATAAGGGGCATGGTGCTAGGATTAATGACCCAAAGGCAAAGGAACAAACAGACCCAAGTTCCTACCCCAAACACACATGTCCCAAGTCACTGTCTGATTCCTTTTTTTTTCCCAAAGAAGAGGCAGAAGACCAGGATAGAGTAGCCTGAGGAGTTTCTTGCAAGTCCTTTTCTATCCTCCAAGTTACAAGCTGTGGTCTTGCAGGACCTCAGTGTCCTCACCACCCCTGAGGCAGCAAGCAACACAACATGGTTCTGCCCCAAGAAGCTGGACAATGTCTGCCATCTGCCTTTCTCCCCTGTGCTCTACCTTCACGGCACAGCGCAACACAGAAAACACACAGTCCTAAGCCAGAAGGATGAGAGCATCTTCCCATCAACTCATCAAAGTCCTTCTTCCCCAAGGGTAGGGTAGGTGATATGAAAATTAGTTTTCTGAATTTTAACTAATATATATGTTATGGTTCAATAGGAAAATTGTGATTAAAAAAAGAGGAAATGAGAGGGTTTTTTTTTTTTCTTTGAACACAAATAAACTGGTCTAAGAGCCAGAAAAGGATGAATTAAAGGCAGTAAAGGGCCAAGAG